CTTAAAATATACAACAACGTTTTTGAGCTAAGTGGCAGAGCTATTAATAAAGACCGAGGGAACTGGAAATCACTATATTGTGGAGGAAAGTAAGAATAGAGAAGACATAGCAACGACGTGCAAGATTGTCAAGTGAATTGACCAACTAGATATACCATTTCTGTGTTCAGAGAGAAAAATTGTAGAACGAGGAAACAGAACTGGTGTGTGTCCGTAAATAAGAGAAACGGACTAGACGAGGATAGTTGATTGAGGTCAATGCAATACGCAGTTTTTAATTAAAACGCAATACAGTGACAAATTCATTGCATTGTACTACTGATGACAACGATGGGATTGAAAGAAAAAGGTTGGACCCTGCAAGCAGAGCTAGGTGAGAACAGCATCGAGTACACACACACATACACACACACAAAGGCTGTAGATATGATAGAGCCCAGTAGGCTCAGGAACCTGTTCACCAGTTGATTGACGGTTGAGAGGCGGCACCAAAGAGCCAAAGCTCAACCCCCGCAAACACAATTAGGTGAGTACAATTAGGTGAGTACACACACACACACAGACACATTCAGACACACACACACACACACAGACATAGACACAGACACACACACACACACACACACACACAAACACACACACACACACAGACATAGACACAGACACAGACACACACACTCACACACACATTCACGTTAATAACTTATTTTCCAAATACCACAAAAGAACGATTTTTTTGCGGTAAAATATTAATTAGTTTAAGGCACACCTGAATTGAATGCCATTGAGTTAATAATAAACATCCATAAAATAAAAAAAATTATACTAACAGCTTAAAATAAAGTTTTAAAGAATTACCCAATTCCAAAAATACATTTATGTGCATATTAATAGAACGTAATGCCTGCTCTTGTGCATAATTCAAGTTTTAATGTAGTAATGCATTGGACTTTGGTGGATCTCATTTAGCATAGTGGTCTGCGGTGGGTGTAGATGCACATATTGTACGAAGGTTCCCAATAAGAGATCATCCCAGCATAGCAATGCATTTCTGTTCTGGCCAGCAGTGCATCTCTAAGTCCCTCGTAACTCTAAACTCCAAACAAAAGATTAAAGTGTGTTTGTTCATTGCATATCCTGGTATTACAAAGTATAATATTGTGTGTGTGTGTGTGTGTGTGTGTGTGTGTGTGTGTGTGTGTGTGTGTGTGTGTGTGTGTGTGTGTGTGTGTGTGTGTGTGTACTTACTTAGTTGTACTTTCGGGGGTTGAGGTTCGGCTCTTTGGTCCCGCCACTCGACGGGGCTATGTGTATTTACTATTTATTTTTACCATCTGCTTCTGCAGAATCGAGCTATTAAGCTCTTGGATCCCGCCTTTCTAACCAATCTATTTTTCTCTCTTATATCTACTATATATATATATATCTACTATATATATATATATATATATATATATGTCGTACCTAGTAGCCAGAACTCACTTTTTGGCCTACTATTCAAGGCCCGATTTGCCTAATAAGCCAAGTTTTCCTGAATTAATATATTTTTTCTAATTTTTTTCTTATGAAATGATAAAGCTACCCATTTCATTATGTATGAGGTCAATTTTTTTTATTGGAGTTAAAATTAACGTAGATATATGACCGAACCTAACCAACCCTACCTAACCTAACCTAACCTATCTTTATAGGTTAGATTTGGTTAGGTAGCCGAAAAAGTTAGGTTAGGTTAGGTTAGGTAGGTTAGGTAGTCGAAAAACAATTAATTCATGAAAACTTGGCTTATTAGGCAAATCGGCCTTGCATAGTAGGCTGAGAAGTGCGTTCTGGCTACTAGGTACGACATATATATATATATATATATATATATATATATATATATATAGTAGATATATATATATATATATATATATATATATATATATATATATATATATATATATATATATATATATATAGTGTGTGTGTGTGTATATATGTGTGTATATATATATATATATATATATATATATATATATATATATATATATATATATATATATATATATATATATATATATATAGTGTGTGTATATATGTGTGTGTATATATATATATATATATATATATATATATATATATATATATATATATATATATATATATATATATATATAAAATCGTAAGGGCATGGCGCTTTTCCCTGATAATTCCCTCCCTCCTGTATGTTCCTATGTTTGCAAAGTCAGGAGTTTACAGTCATGAAGAAATTATAGAACTTTTCTTCTCCTGGTGTTGGGGTCAAGAAAACCTCTCCAACAATTTTCTTTTACATCTTCCAGATTGGTTTTACCACATTATTTTTTTAAGTTTGACGTCGACGCCTCCGATTAGCGTGACCTATATAATGTGGGGTTCTGCAGGATTCAATGAATTCTCTCTTTCCTTTGTGTGATAGTGCGGCCGGAATATCTCTGTTTTGATGTAGTCAACACGTATATTCTGCTACAACAATTACACGAGTTAGCTGGGAGTTCCAATCTCTGACTACTGTCAGCGCTGTTGGGTTGTCAGAAAGTCCCTCCTGGCCGCACTCTGGCCATCAGTCTTCCTTCTGTTTGTTCTCATCTTGAAGGTTCAAAATGCTTAATTTTGCTTTCACCCGCTTTGACAGCATGGTCAAACATTTCTCCACCGGCTTCTCCGCATGTGGGAACGTTATAAGAAAACTCATACTGTGTTCTCTCACTAAGGTCAGACTCCCCGTACCTCACGACTCCTCCTGCAGTGAGGGCCCGACTTGGAGTGTGTGGTCCCGCCGCTCGAAGCCTCCTAACGGGAGATCATTAATTAATTTTATGAATATAATCCTTCTTCTTGAAGAGAATGAGGCGAAGAAGAAATATGATGGAGCGGTTAGCGCCCCCTTCCCCACTCGCCCCACCAGCGAAAAGACTCGGGACCGAATTCGGGGCAGAGTCGAGTGATTAGGCACCGTCACTCCTCTGTTTGCCCCCTGTTCTCCCAACAGAATTAGGGACTGTTAGGGAATCATCCTGTCTAGCAGTTGAGCCTGCCTGTTCCTTTACCGCCTATTCACCAACGTATCTGCATGCTCCAACATCACAAATCAACATCAACAACAACAAGACATTCTCCAAACGTATTGGGTGTCTAGACACATCCCCCTCCTCCCTCCACCTAATAATACCCGAGACACTTGGATACCTGCTGTCTCGCCGGTCGACCAGACGCTAACTGCTTCTTTAACTGCTGACTTCTCCAGAATTCGCACCAGCTATGACGTTATGGCCCATATATATAGGGCTCGCCGGCATCCAGACATCAGACTACCCTTCGAGTGCTCTCAGCTGTAACATCTACTCTCGCCTTCCCGGGAGACATTAGACACATACAAGCATTTTTATAAAGTAACTGCACCCTTCTGCTTAATGTAAGCCTCATTTATATATAATATAGGTTAACCTATATTAATATTAATATATTAATATAGGTTACTGGATATATATATATCCAGTAACGCATCATACCTCATACTAGATCTCCTCTTGAAATTTCCGTATTAAAAAGACCTTCTCCCACCATATTACCTCTTAGTATACCTCTTGCCCTCTTGCACCGCTCACACGATGGCCCAACACCATGTATCCTCATACTACATTATCCTCATACCTCACACTACATCATCCTCATACCTCATACTAGATCATCCTTACGCCAAACGCCTTTAAATACCAACCCACCCTCTCCAAACTTTTCTCTCGTAACTCCATCCTCCCTCTGTCCCTCTCTTCCTCTATGTGTCCCTTGCCTCCCTCTACCCTTCCTTCTCTCTATCCCTTCCCTCTCTCTATCCCTTCCCTCTCTCTATCCCTCCCTCTCTCTACCGCTCCACTACGTTGCATTCCCCAACCACCTCCACCTAACTTTTTAAGACATTCTTAAAGTGCTTGGCCAGGAGGAAGACGGGATAGCAGGTAAGGAGGACACGAGAGAGGAGGGACGCTGGGAGAGGGGCGCTGGGAGAGGGGCGCTGGGAGAGGGGCGCTGGGAGAGGGGGCGCTGGGAGAGGGACGGTGGGAGAGGGACGGTGGGAGAGGGGCGCTGGGAGAGGGGGCGCTGGGAGAGGGGCGCTGGGGAGGGACGGTGGGAGAGGGACGCTGGGAGAGGGACGGTGGAAGAGGGATATATATAACACAAAGAGAGGCAGGCTAACACAGGCAGCCAGTAAGGCACTAAGGCTGACAGACAGTAAGGCTGGCAGACAGTAAGGCTGACAGACACTAAGGCTGACAGACAGTAAGGCTGACAGACAGTAAGGCTGACAGTAAAATATCCAGACCACACATTGTGATCTTTCTGAATTAAGCGAGTGTCGTGCGAGCTACACCAGCAGGTAAGCGAGCTGTTGTATATGGAGACATTAGTACCAAGTGACAACACAAGTCGAAGAAAGTGTGGTCAATACATATGGTGGCAAGGTTCTGATCAAAATAATTTACCCTGAACCAAGGAGAGGAAGAGGCCAGTGTTATCCCAGTGACGAACTCTGTGAAACTTGGCGGTAAACGCGTATATAAGAAGTCGGAAAAGAAAACAGAACGCAAAATAAAAATAAAAATAGAGAGAATATTTGTCAAAAATAAATTAATGTGGGGATGTAAACAAAATAAAGTTGGGGGGGGGGGGGGGGGTCTAAGGAGTGCCATAATAGTTATCTTCTTGAGGTTATCTTGAGATGATTTCGGGGCTTTAGTGTCCCCGCGGCCCGGTTCTCGACCAGACCTCCACCCCCAGGAAGCAGCCCGTGACAGCTGACTAACACCCAGGTACCTATTTTACTGCTAGGTAACAGGGGCATAGGGTGAAAGAAACTCTGCCCATTGTTTCTCGCTGGCGCCTGGGATCGAACCCAGGACCACAGGATCACAAGTCCAGTGTGCTGTCCGCTCGGCCGACCGGCTCCCTGTGGAGATGTATGCCCTGTGGGTGCCAGAGGA